ACAACTCCATTGGCCATTGGCTAAGTTATGGTTACTGGGCAAGGTCTGATCTGGTCTGGACTGGCTTGCTCTGTGGCACAAAAAGGTTTTGGCATCGATATGGGCATTGCATGCAAATGCAACATATCTCCCTCTCTCTCTCTCTCTCTCTCTCTCTCTCTGCCTCTCACTATCTCTCTCTCTCTCGGCATTGGGCTTGGCGTTTCCCCCCTGCACGTCTGCAGCTGACATGATATACGCTTTGATGTCTCGTTTTTTTGATAAAGTACTCAATCTATAAACGCCAAGAGCAAAAACGTAGAGCCGCTTTTGCATTGCCTTCGCTCCACTTGCCCCTCGCCCACGCTCTGCTCTGCTCTGGTCTGGTCGGCCCTGCTCTGGGGGTCAGTGCAAAAATATGATATGAATTGCCTGGCTGCCCAGCGACTGCTCAATGCTCAATGCTGACTGCCAACTGCCAACTGGCGACTGGCGACGGCCAACTGCCAACTGGTCACTGCTCGCCGCTGACTGGAGAATGGAAATAAAATGAAAAAAAAAAAGAAATAAGAAAAGAGAAATACCAATGAAATAACAGAAAAAATGGCGCGCTTGCAACGCTTCAAAGGTAAACACTTCGCGTACGGCAACCGGCAACAGCTTTTGGCTAATTCGCGCGGCACCAAAAAAGCGACAAAACAAACTTTGCCCGCACGACGAACAGAGGATACCCTTACCTCAATAGGGTGTGCAAAATTGAGAGTTCACTCGAATAAGATTGAGTCTGTAAATCAGAAGCAGCTACAATTGCTAAATTAGGCATATTTCTTATGCTCCTAGAAGTATGCTACACTGTTTAAGCTTTCCATTATATTTGCAGTTGAGTTGAGTATAAGAGTTAATTTTAGTATATTATAATATATATTCTAATACTCAGATTATCGGATATTCCTATATTCTTATATTTTGACAATTTTATATCTTTATATATATTATATTTATATATATTATATTCTATTCTTATATTATGAAATTCACAGATTCTTATATTCATTACATTATTATATTGTTTTATTCTTATATTATATTTTGACATTCCTTTATTTTTATATTCTTATACACTTATACTTTTATATTCTTTCGTTCTTATATACTTATCTTCTTATAGTCTTGTATCCTAATATTATTATATTCTTTTATTCTAATATTTTTATTTTTGTATAATCAAATATTTTTATAATCTTATAGTTACTCTTAAATTCTTTTTTTTTTTATTATTTATATTTTTATTTTAATAATTTCTTTCTTTTTTTTGTAATCAAATATTTGTACAATTTTATATTTACTCTTAAATTATTTTTTTTTTATATTATTTATATTTTTATTTTAATATTTTCCTTTTCTATAATCAAATATTTGTCTAATTTTAAGTTACTCTTAAATTTTTTAAAATATTTTCTATACATATATCTTATATTCATACGCGCTTACTATCTTTCACTCTTATCCTCTTACACTCTTATTTTGGTTTACTCTTATACTTGGACAGCCTTATAATCTTATACTCTAATTGGCTTATTTTATATTATACTCTGACAATCCAATACTCCTATACCTTATACTCCACAAGAGTCTTTGGTTTCTTTATATATATCTTTATATATATCTAACAATCTATAATCTCTATTACCTGGCATATTGCATACTAACATAGTATCAACTGCACTCAAGTGTTGCTAAACAGTCAATGAAGTGCATGCAACTCTCGCTGGGTTAGGGCAGCCGTAAGCTAAAATGTCATTCATAAATCATACGCAACGATGCTGGAACGACTACGATTCCATTGCTCCAGCTACGTTTTGACTCGTTTTGTTTTGGTTTCCTCACATCTCTGTCTCTCTCTCCCTCTCTCTCTCTCTCTCTCTCTATCTTTCTTTTCATTTTTGTCTTCTTTTTTTTGGCGGGCGCTTTAAATCGATTCGCAAGCAAATTAAAACATTTCAAGATTTATACGCACAACTGTCAAAAAATGTTCAAGTTCGTTTATCAGCGTATTACCCCCGAGCTGCCCCTCCTTCTGTCCCCTGTCCTCTGCCCCTGGCCTTGCGCCTTGCTGCTTACGTCTTGTAGCACAGCTTCATTCGCTGCATGCGCCATCCCCTGCGCCCCGCCCACCTGCCACGCCTATGCCGCCTCACCTACACTCGCATTTGCAATCGCAAAGCACTTCCGGCATTCAATTTGAACTTTGCACACAAAAAGGGCACACAATTTGCTCATATGACTATATATATCTATATATACTATATATATATATTACCCTATATATGTATAACTGTATGCAGATATGTGCATGCGTACATTTAGATATTATTTCTGGTGCACTAAGCCGCGGGTGTTGCGTCTGAGTCGAAACTTTTGTGCGTGCAGCGAAAACATAACCCAAAAATTGGCTTTAACTTTTATGATTTTCAATGATGAAAGTTTTCCGCAGAAAGAGCAAAAATAAAAAAATAAAGAGAAAGAAAACGAGATGAAAACGTGCAATAAAACGAAACAGCTAAAACAATTAAAGTCGAGTGCACTCGACTGTCCAATATCCGTTCGCAATCAAACGAAAAATCATATTTCAAATAGTTTCATTCGAATTTCATGTGAATAGCTGCAGCTAACGCTCCCCCACGCCCTCTCTCACACACTCTCTCTCTCTCTCTGTCTCACTGTTAGCTATAGCCTGTAATCCAATATACCCCTTTGACAGTAGCGCTGAGCGAGCATTGCAAATGGCAACAGCCGCAACGCGCTTTGCACAAAGCTCTGTGATAATATTTTTGCATAAAACGCGAAACTACAAATGAAATCATAATTTCATTAAAATCCAGCACACACACACACGCACACACAACTCAACACAAATGCGCAGCCTTTCATTCATAAATTTCGAAATTCATTTATATGTATGCAGATATATATGTATATGTATTTATAAGTAAATGCAGTTAGATATTTATTAGCGAGCTTCGCCCTGCCTTGAGCAATCATTTAAGATAGTTATTGTGCATATTAATGCGTTTGGAGCTATATTTGTTTTGTAAATTTGATTTGCAGCAAGCTCAAGCTAATATATGAGGCACCATATGCCAACAATTTCAGCATCATTTAATATATCAGCAATATAAAATATAAATAATTATATATTATCTTCCATAATTGACAATATTCTTATATATATTTTCTGCAATTTATGAAATATTTTTAAAATATTCGAATTTAATCATTGATATTTTGAGCACAGCTATGCAATAGTATAAAATCAATTTATGCTTAAATTTTAAACCGTAACTTTCCACAGCGCCATCTGCTGGTGGGTAGCAATTTATGCCTAAGAGTATGCAACACTTTCCGGCACACAAACCACTTCTTAACATACGACATTACATTCTACGATATTGGCTAACATTAGCAGAAAATGCTACCTCAAAGCTGCTGTTAACACATTTTCAGTTAAAGTTTGAATATGGAAGAGCTTTAAAAATATCTAAAATTCTTGGTAGACATAAAACTAAAGTATTTATTTATATTATATGGTTAATATTTGTACTAAAAGCACAATTAAAAATGTTGCATATTTTTAAGATTTCTTTTCTGTGAAAAACAAAAAACATTTAGTTAAGTTAACAGAAATTATCATGACGCTCTAACATAAATCTTAAATGTCGCGTGTCACAGCTATGCGTATGAGTGTGTGTTTGTCTGTCTATGTATTCGTGTGTGTGTTTGTGTGTTGCGAGAAGCCGTTAAAGAAAATATCCAAACGATATTCTATGTCATATCCGAAACAACAACAAAACTTTACGCTTGCTGCGTCTGCGCGCTCCAAAGACAACAACAGCGACGAAGCCGTCAAAGACAACCGGTTTCTAGAAGCAGATACACTGCCTCAAGCGAGCACATGCACTACATGGCTTAAATTGCGAAAATGTTTATTTCGATATTATCAATTTTATATTACTAAAATTCTAGATGTATGACAATAAATAAACTACACAAGAGAAAAACTATAAACTGAAAACAAAACCGAAAACAAAATAAAAGAATTTTAATATAGTATATTCAACATACGCATTAAATTTATTTATAAATAGAGATTTAATATTTAGTATTCAGGTGATTCTAGATAATTCAAATTAAATATGCAAAAATAAAGAAATAAAATTAAAAGCTTTGTATAAATAAAAAAAAAAATCGAAAATAAATAAAAATATCAGACATTATTATTTTTTTTTTTAACCTCGCTAAATGGAAAAAATTCTATCCCCTTGAAAAAATTCGATAATTTGAATTTCTTGTGTAAATCGAAAATAACTGTCCCCTTTGCCATTTCGAATTATCGGGACTCGACTGTACTAGATAAAATCTAGTCCATAGAGAAATCGTATATAGATTATAAAAAAAACAACTTGTAATTCACTTTTCAGATTGGCATTTAAAAGCTCACAGCAATACTGAGAATTGAATTTAGATTGGAGTTATGTATATGGAAAACTTGATCATGAAAGAGAGAGGGAGATAATATAAGCCAATGATATACTTGAATCATTAAAGTTTAAAAAGTTTAATGATATTACATTTCGCGCTATCAACATATACTTACCCTCCTCTCTCATCTCTCCCTACTCGATCATCGATTCCCCTACTCGATAGTTAGGGTATTATCGTCATCGGTGTGCATGTAGCGCAGCGTTGGTCTACTTGGTTTCTCTGTGAACGGTTTGGACTGGCGTCTTGGCTGCCGCATGTTGTTATTGTTGTGGGCCGCTTTGTTAGTTTGTGCGCGCGACTCGACAACGTTGGTTGTTGCACCAATCAGCGAACAACGTACAACGTACAACGAACAACACCAAATACCAAAATACCGAACCGCAGTTCTAAAACCGTTTATATTTTTTTTTATGTTCTGTAAAAGTTCTGTTTTGATTGGATTTTTTTTTTATATTTATTTGCGACACTTGTTGCCGCCTGCCCAAAAGTCCTGCGACTCGAGTGTGCAGGTTCAGTGCCTCGATAACTGAGAGCACGAGAGAAACGTGAGTGCAACTTGAACATCTAAAGTGTGCGAGAAAGAGAGAGTGAGAGCGAGAGAGCGACAAGGAGAGAACGGGAGTGAGCGAGCGAACAGCTGTACAGGGCGGACGCAGCTAGCGGGTAAGCCAAATCTTCCACAACTTCCGTTAGATGATAAAAACACATTTTAAGCCAATTTGCTATGTGTGCCGATGTGTTGGCTTTTTATGACAGAACACGATCTAAATTTGATGACTGTGAATGTGCACACACACACACACACACACACACACACACATAATCTTTCTGTGTGTGTGCCACAGATGTACAACAACAACAATTGCGATTGCAAGCGTTAAATGAAGCTCAAGCTGTGATGCTTGCATGCATGTTGAGTCTGTGCGGTGTCAAGCCGTAAGCCACGCCCACTTTCTAGACTTGCAATCGCCCAAAAGCCAAAAACCAGAACTCAACAGCATTTGGCCAGGTCTATGAACGCAGCCTGAGCTGCAGTTAGTTGGCATCAGATATGTCAAGTATTCGGCATGAGAAGCGCCGAGAAAGGCGCAATTGTGACTTCTGTTCGCATAGCAAATCCTAGGCAAACGGTATGAAAATTGATACTATAGCAGAAAGCAATAGCAGGTGTTAACTCGGAAATGTTTGGGCTGTAGAACACTTACTAGAAAGCTCTACAATTCTCTACAATCTATGGATTTATAATACAGCATGTGCAAAAGAAAATAAAGTGATATACATCATATATATGTTAAAAAGATTGTTAATTTCGATAACTATGCTAAACTTCTTCATTTTCGGTGTAAACAAGCCGCTCTCAACTCTTTGATAGATGATACTTCCTAATTCCAACTGTATAAATTAGCAAATAAAATAACAATAGACTCAGGGCAACTGAAAATTTGCTTAAATTCAAGATTTATCACAGAGACTGCGCTGTCTAGAAAGTTGCATTTGCCTGTTTAATTAGAAATGAATGCATGTAAGTAAAGTTAAGATATGCATATGCAGATGTACATATGGCACTATGTGGGTCTGTACCTAGGAAACTTATAGCTATGCAAATGTATGTAAAAATCCAACACACAAAGACAATGAGCGGAACGGTAAGAGATAGAAAGAGACAGAGACAGAGAGAGAGAGTGAGGGAGAGAGGCATGCAGAGAGAATCGCAACAGTTGCCCAGCTGAGCATCTCGATACATTGAGAATTGCATAGAGAGGCGAGGAGCAGTGAGCTGCGAGCTCGAAATGACTTTGACTCAAGACATTTGGCCTGAATTTTGTTTTTTTCGGTTTGCAGGTTTTTCTTTTCGTATCTCTTTTTGTTTTCGTTGCTTTTCACGCTTCTCGGCTCAGCTTTGCGCGCCAAGTGAATGGGCTCTTGGCGATGCCAAGAAGGGGAGCGAGTAGCAACCGCAGCGACAACAGCAACAGCAGCAACAACAACGACCATAGCTACAGTGTCGTCCATCGCATTAGGGCAAGAAACCTTTGTCTATTAAGCCATGCTGAGGTGTGCTGCATACATGTGTGAGTGTCGTTGGTTGTGTGTGTGTGTGTGTGTGTGTGTGTGTGTGTATAGGTAATTAAACAGACAACATCTGCAGTTCAATTCACAGCCATTACTACTGCCCCAGGTGCTGTTGCTGCTGCTGCTGCGATGCGTTGCAAGATTTATTTATGACTTGACCATTCAGCCGAGGAGCTGCTCGCTGGACAGTGGGAGGCTGGAATGGACCTCTGCTTCGTCTTTATGCTGCACAACAACTTGACGCGGCGCGGCTTTAAATTCATAAACAACATAGAAATCAAGTTTAGCAGCAGCAGCAACAACAGCAGCAACAGCAGCAACAGCAACAGCAACAGCGGCAGCTGCTGCATCAACGGGTGCACCGTTGTTAGAAGGGACTGTGGCATGGGCTGGGCCGGGCTGGCCGAGGTGTCCAGTTGGGGTATATGGCAATTTACTGTGCAATTGCTGCGACGATGGCAGCCACGCAAAATCAAGATGTTGCTGGAAAATTCTTCGACACGAGCATCTCTGTTCGCCTCGCTAGCCACATCCACATCCACATCCACATCTACGTCCAGCTCGAGCCGCCATGGACTCGGCCAAAGAGTGTCTTTGGCTTTTCGTTATTTATTTTTATCAGCATTTTTCTTGAGCGCAGCAAAACAAGTTTTCCAGCATATTTATTTGGCTTTTCTCTCGGCGTGCTCTCCACTTGGATTCTCTTCTTGGCTAATCCCTTGCGCCGGGCCTTCAAGTTTTTGGCATTCGATGCTGTTTTATTGTTATTATCATTGCCCAACTATTATTTTTATTTTCATTATTATTACTATTACTATTGCCGCATTGCTCAGCACAAAATGTCAAATAAATCATGGAGCATAACTGATTTTTGCATAGACAACTCGTCTAGCGGGTTTTCGTCGTCTCTGGATGCTGCTAACTCTTAAGGATAGCTACAGCAGCATCATCATCATTGCGGCTGATTAAGCAAACGGCACTATGCATCGTCTATGTGCAACAGCGTGAAGAAGCCTGTTACCTGCCACACATGCACACACACACACATACACACATACACAATTATGTTGGCAACATGAACATCAACATTTATAGCCCAGTCACGCTTCAATTAAGAGTCCTCATAAATACAGCAAGCAATTAAAATACCATCATTGATTCTACATACATATAAAGTTCAAGCCAAGGAATTATATGTATTTGAAGCAAATACGTGGAACACAGAGCTAGTCGACAGAAATTCTTCAAATATATCAGATGTTTCAAAAATTTATATATTTCTTGTGAAGTTTTCTTATAAAAAAAGCTTAAGGTTTCGTTTTCATTGCAATCAAATCTCAATAGATGATAATTATCGATAACATAATTTAATGGATATTAAAAAAAATACTGTCAATTAGTCAAAAGAATACATTCACTAAAAACGGTTTCATTATTAATATGGACAAAATTATGTTGATTAAAATGTAATAAAGCATATATAGATGTTTAAGTTGCGGGAATACCCCATCTAAGCGTTATTCCAGATGCATCATTACATTATTGAAATATTATGTTTAATACTCACTTAGAACTTAGAGTAAAAATACAACATACAAATGTTTCAGCTGTAGGAATACCCCCATTAAAGACATATATAATAGTCATCCATTCTGCTACACTGTCAATATCTCCAACATGTTTCTGACTGAAGAGCTTTTTGAGCAGCAAGAATATCCATACTATATACTTATGATTATTATATAAGTGTTAAATTTACAAGAAAGCCCCTACTACACATACATATCATTGCAAAAATAATTATGGATTTTTAGAAGCACTTAGAATACCCTTATTAAATATATTTTGCTAAATTCAGATTCAGCTGGATTTATTAAGGGCGAATTTGTCTATATATGTACCATCAAGATCTATTTATGCGTCCAACCATATTAACACAATTTCCAACTTCCAATTAAATTCATTTTAACTGCCTGTTAAACTTGACTTGGGGTAAAATTGCCAAAAGATTCCCACACCCAAACGAGAAAAAAAAAAAAAACACCGACTTAAGTATTAAGTGAATTTGACACATTTCACTAATCCATCATCAGCTTGGCTTGGCTCGAGATGACATTCCACGTAAAACTTTCGCACAGCTTTTTAAATGCCAAAACTAGCCGAAAGAGTCTAAGTCTTCGTCTGTCTGTAATCTATTCGCGTTTAACTGTCAAAATCAAATCAAACAATCATTTAATTAGCAGCAGAAACAGGAGATGCAGATGATAATGATGATGATGCTGCTAAAGCCGATGATGACGAAGAAACGAGGCCGCCAACTTCCGCACGCTATAAAGTCACCCGAAAAAAAAAAAAAAAAAATGAAAAAAACAAAGAGACAAATAAAAAATAAAAACAAAAATTAAAATTGGCCACTTGGCTGCTGGGCCATCATTGAGAGTCGTCTGTGTCGGAGGCCTGGGCGTTACCCTATTGGTGTAAACTTTCTAAGCTTTCAAGATTTTTAAAGTGTGCAAATATTTCCATATAGAAAGTAAATGAAATTTCTGCGCAAAATAATTGCCATAGATGCATGGCAGGGGCCATGTGTACTTGCTTGTTAATATGTATGTTTGTGTGTGTATATGTGTGTTTGTGTGTAGCATACACCTGCAGCAACAATGCCAAAGGTCTGCGTCAGCACCGCAGCCGACGCGAACGTCGACGTCGCGTCGTCGCATTGTCAACGGGCAATCAGTGAAAGTTAAATCGAACAATGCAGTCGCCTCTTCAGCTTGCGCCTTGCTGTCTTCTCCAGCACCACCAACACACACACACACACACACACACACACACACCCGCTTTACCTCTCTCAGTCTGCGTGCATGTGTGTTAGTTGTTCTCTCTTCTTTACGTTTCTTCACTCGCTCTCTCTCGCTCTCGCTCTCTCTGCCTGTCAGCCGCAGCTGGGAGCTGTCGTTGCTGTTGTAGGCGCGCCGCAGGTGCTATTGTTGTTGTTATTGTAATTTCACACTCTCAACGAGCAAAAGTGAAAAGAAAAGAATGCTTACGCACACGCACACACGCACAAGTACGACAAGCTCTGACAGTCAGGCGGGCCGCAGAAGACGATGAAGAAGAAGAAGAAGAAGAGGAAGCAACGGCAACCAGCAGCCAGCAGCTTGCGAGCAGCAGCGGCGACAGCGAGCGTTCATCAATTTAATTAAGGCGCGTGTGAAGCGCTGCAACAACAATAGCAACAACAAATTTGACAGCGCTGTCAGTTTAACAGTTAAGCCAAAGTGTAAGACAACACAAAAGAGACAATGCCAAAGTAGTACAATAAAAATTTTCAAAATTAATTTAACTGTTTCGTATAATGAAACAGGCGAAATGCCGAATATCTGAATAAACATAATCATAATAATAATAATAATAGTATTAGTCATAAAAGCTCTTTATAGGTTAGCAGTTGGTTCGCTTCACTATCTCAATCTGAGATAAGCCTAACGCGACTTTCAAGGTGGCCCATAATGGGCTGAGGCTGAAAATTGAAAAGGCGATGACGCTACATGAGATGGGTAATATTCTGGAACAATGCTTACGGCTTA